TACCTAGGTTATACGGACTGCCAAAGATACATAAACCGGATATCCCATTAAGGCCAATTTCGGACATGTGCAATTCCTCATATCATACTGTAGCAAAGTGGCAAGTAACTGTTTTGAAACCACTCCATAATCGCCCGTAAAACATAGTAATAAGGACGTATTCCAATTCGTTGACAGGATTAAAAACATAAACACGAAAGATCAAACGATGATTTCCTTTGACGTAGCATCACTGTTCACAAATGTCCCACTCAGAGAAACTGTAGAATATACATACAGCAAACATGGAGCAATCTTTTGCAATAGTCTATCGTGTCAACAGCAGTCTACCTAATTCCGTCAGACTGCGAATCCTACAGACGGCTGAAAGAATTGCTATTCGGATAAAATAGCCAGAGCTTTGTATCCAAAAGAAGTATGTTCAGCCACTCCTTTTACTCTGGCCAACTAGCTAATAATCAATCTTATAATGTGGTGACGTAATCTGATTGATGTTCATTTTATGTCCCAAACTTATTATTATTATTATTATTACTGTTATTGTTACTATTATTATTATTACTATTGTTGTCTTTACACTTGATAACCCCTTTTTGAGGAATTTATTCAATATTCATCCCTGAATCTACTATATTTGACCTAATCGTTTTACATATTACGTAATTTTCGATTTGTAATCACAATATTCTCTCTCTTACCCCATGTTGACCATATTTGTTCTGATAATTTATCTCACAATTTTATTTCGCTTATAAACTGATTCAAGTTAACATTTTATATTAGTCAGCCCTAACATTAACGATTTTATTTATATAACAAACAATTCCTGATTCACATATTAAAATTTCCAAATTATGTATTTTGCCTTAAATCTGGCCAACTTTATGGATCATTAATCTGGATTTATAATTGTAGAACCTGATGAGAAATTATTGAAAAGAATATTCTTCGTTCATACAATTGTGTTTCAATATAATGGAAGTTTTTCAGTGATTAAAATTACGATGAGTTTAAGCTGCAAACTTTATGCAATCATAAGGTCAGTTTAGATGGTTCATAATTATCTGGACTCGTTCATTTGACAAAATTTTTGACAGGACCAATCACTTTGGAATTAGTTGCCATACTTTGTAATTCAATCTGGTTGCTTTTGGATCATTACGAATTGTCACAACTGGTCTTATATACGTCAAATCTATTGGATGATCTAATTCCTGAAAATAATCCAGGCGAATTTAACTATTTCGCTGGTGGATTTACTGTTTTTGTACGCAACATGTATATATTTTCACTCAGAATGTCCGTACACATTTTATCCAACCACTCCCAAGACGTTTTCGGCATTAGATGCATCTAGTAACTTTATACTGTATCATGCTACAATGAAAAATTATGTTGTTTACAGATGAAGCGTATTCCATTCCGAAAAATTATTTGACATTTCTTAGTTCCAAATGCCTTTATCACATATTTGTAAATGTCACTAGGCTAACTGCAATAACTTCTTATGGAGAGTTCATAACTCGTTATATTCCTTAATGAAGTTCCATAAGTTGCCTCAACTTATTTTTGGCTAAGTTTATCATTTTTAAACTGTCACATACCTCACAAACCGCCATGTTAACCTGTTCTGTACATACGCTGTATTATTTCATCTCTGTGTCGTTGTAATTTATTATTTAGCAGAACTGTCTTTAACATTTTTCACTAAACTCATCATAGTCCTCATTGCTATACGTATTTCGGTTTATAAATTGGTCCATCATATTAGTTGCCCAATAAGACGAACATAGTTCACCGGATTTAAGTAGTATCATATTACCCTAGCATAATAACTAGAGTATCAGGTAGTTTTTGACAAGACAAAGATTTTACATTGAAACTCCGAACCCTACTATTAGAATTAACAGTTTGTAGATAAATATTTCTATGTTAATATCCTGTTTAGGTTTATATAAATATTAGGCAACTGAAAGGTAGCAGGGGACCAGTCAAACTGTTCTTCAAGGCGTCCCACACATCGTTCTAACCCTCCTGATCTAAGAGTGGATCACTACCTCACACTTTGTAGAATTAATCTCACCACCGCATGAATTATTGGTCTTTGTCAATGTGATAAGCCTAATAATTCGTATATTGTACCAATTACCTCTGCCTTTCCTATCTCTTGTGCCTTCGCTGCTCATTAATTTATCACAGCAATTATGTTATAAAAACACTACAACCCACTACAAAACTAATGATGTGTAGACGAATATTTTCGGATCGCAAATTATAATATAATCAGGCAGCTTGCACCAGGTGGTGCTACAAACTTCTGCTACCTCAGAATCACCTTAAAACAACAACACTTATTTCTCACTGGCTAGTCAACAATCAACAGTGCAACTAGTTATTCACATTGGTTCCAGGATATCGTTATAAAGCATTGTCATGACTTACCAATCACCTAATATGACTGATGACATTGATGAAACTATCGACAAAGTCGGTCAACATACTGACATGCAATTGTCACTGAATAATGTTGCCTTCTCGTTAACTTCATTTATTACGAATCATTTCAGCGTGTCTATCTATCAGTTGCTCATTCAGTAAGTTAGTTAAAACCTTGTTGATTTGATTGTTGGCTCAGCGACAAAAACACGCATGCGAACCATCAGTATAAGCAGTCGAGCAAGCCTCCTACAAACTGAAAATATTGCTATTGAATTTATTACAACACCGACTACAGTTCATACCATTATCAGAGACATGAACTGGTAGTTGTATTTCCCTTGGGTACAACTTATGTTCTCCATTATAATCACATGAGCATCGCTCTCTATCGATCATCTTGTAAAGACTTATTTAGCCAAGAGCATCGCACAACACCATGTCACCTTTATTTGTGGCACATAGGCATCGTCGATTTTAATTATTAATAATCAACATCGACACAACATAGATTCATTTTCTATTTCTAAACACAAAGTAGTTGTACTACCTACAAGTTCAGTTATTACTACACATTTTACTACGACTTAATAAAATACCTTCACACGAAATCATTCCTAATTATTATAATCCCACTTTGTATAGCTCTTAAATAATCTCTACCAAAATTTCCATTTTGCGCGCGTTAAGAACTAAACCAAACATTTCGAAATTATGACGTGTATTTCCCGACCAGTTACTGCAAGCTTCTTTCTGATTTATCTTTCGGCTCATCAACAACCGAAGGATTCTTATTATTCTTTGTAACTCCAGGTGCGCGACAATCCCATTCGATATGGCATCGAAACAACATCATTCTGATTCTGGTGGGAACGTGGTGTAGTGTCACTGGATCTTAACTACGCGACCTTTAAAGCTGAGCATATAAATACTGAAAAGAATTAGTTTCAACGGTTGACACAAAGAGAAGCTTAACTATGGAGAACGTGGAAACATTAGGTCAATTCTATCGGATGACATGGCTCAGCCTTGCAGACATGGTCATTCTTGTGTGACTTATCTCTTATTCGTATTGGATATATATTATTCTATCTTCCTCCTAAATGTGTTCTTCAGAAATATTAGACCTAATATTGCTGATTCTTATGATACAGTGTAGGAAATGGTGTGACCTCCGCATAAGATGTTACATATTGGATGGTCACATCTTGACAAATCTGTGTTGTAAGGATTAGATCCATCATTATAGAAGCATTAATAACGAACTTACACCATAATTCTACGTATAAACCTCACACAACAACTTCATACAGTATATTACGTAGCACTCGTAACATTTTTATCTTGCCTGAAAACTGATATCTTTCACGTAACAAATCGTACGTTAGAAACGAGTAATCAATATTATTCATACTAATACTGTTTAGCAATCGAAACGCTAGTCACTTTTACTTGGGAACTTAGTGATATACACTCGATGGAACAGTCGTGACTAGTTTGAATAAGTCGTTAGCAGCTCAATGCAGAAATTGATCAATCTGTATTCATTGGGCTCAGGTAATTATGAATTTAGTGTCCTGAAATGTTGATTACACCTAGACCTTGTTATAGATTTATTAAGCATTAAAGTAATTCAAGTTTAATTAAATTAACCTCAAGCGTAGAAACTATGGACGTAATTTGTTGCACTTGGTGGCAGCTTAACTAAATACTCTATCATTCATGATGAGTCAACCGCCATTGAACAGTAGCCAGAATTAGAGCACACATAAGCTTGAAACAGAGAATAACCGTTGGATAGCCTCTGATTATCTAGAACCCTCCACAATTCACTTGAAACTCAATAATCAAGACAGGTAGAGCATCTGCTAAGCCTCCCGCTCCTTGTCACAAACCAATGAAATTTCTAAAAGCTTGATTGACCACATGTCTTTCTGCTTGATGAGAAACACAAAGCATGTTGAAATCACGACAAACGTATACATAAAATGATTCGGGACGTGAGGAACCATTTTTTGAGCCATTCATTTAACACTGTAGACTGCATTGAAGACAAACGCTGAACGGTAGGAAGTGAAAAGGAAAAACTCCAAACTCGTAACAGCTATTTTGTGTCCCTAAATCAGCCATAATCACAACAGCACTACGAAGCGAAATGATCAAAAACCAGCAAATAACATCAATAACATGGAATTACGATTTTAGAACATTTGAAGGATGGAGATATACAACACGATAAAGACACTATCTCTGATCCGCCATGGAAAACCAGGATGAGCTTGATCCAGATCATATGAAATAAAATGAGCAACATGAATGCAATTATAAGGAGAACATTCAAATCGATCCCAACAACGGCATTTGCAATGAAAATTTAAACCAAACGAAGCCAAACACAAAGCAATATATGCCATTCACTACAGCTTACAGTGATGGTAGAAGTGTTGCAAATGCTGCCATTGGCAAGCGAATTTTTCGCTCGTTATCATGATTGTCAGAAACATGTTGATTACACCTAGACCTTGTTATAGATTTATTGAGCATTAAAGTAATTAGGGTGGCGCGTTGTAGAAGGTTATTCATTACAGTGGGTTTCTCCCAAAGTTGTCCTATATTTGCTAATTACTACAGAAAGCGACTACTCAAGTCAAGGAAGGTTTTTTGCATCTTCGTGGTACGTAATCTTGACAAATATGATAGATCTTCACTACGCTGTGATAGCGTTCGTTAGGGCTTGAAATATGCTGCAATCGCCCAATCTCAAGATTGATATAGGGATCCCTATTTTGGGGAAAGTTTTATCCGTTTTGGGGAAATTTTAAAGAATCTGCTATATGAAATTCCGGGGAAATGGCACAGCAATCTCAAAATTTCCCTTGATCTGAGGAATTCCCCGAAATTTTGGGGAAGACAATTGGACTTTGCGGATTTCTCCAAAATTGGGAGATTCGGCAGCATTGCTATTAATTTATAAAAAAATCGCTTGGTTAAAATCAGAGTTAAGCTGTAAGTTTTATTGCTTGACAAAAAGTCACGATACTCATAATGTTTACATCACGAACGTCGTGTTGCCAAAGATCTATCTTAAATCTTGTCGGTTCGTCAGTCTCGTCGAAATTTCAGACGATAATACTTTATAGGTCTCGAATATAAATCATTTTTTATCGATATCTGATAAAGCCGTACCAAATGTTTAATGATCTTGTGTAACAGTTCGCCCTCTGTCTGATTCTGATATTAGTTGGTATTTATATTATTACTCTCCCATTAAATCTACCTGTCATTGTTTTAAGATTCCAGCATTTAGCACAGATTTCAATTTAATCTCGAAGAATTCAACTTAACTCTATCCTCTCAAGGATCCATTCGTGAGTAAAATCCAAACGCGTATAGAAGATGGTTGAGGTTAACGATGGTCGCCATTTTAAAAATCCTTACCACGATTATATGCCTGGAGACCAGCTTAAAGTACTTTCAGTATTTACTTGTGCACCACGTTCCAGGTGGGAGATACAAACATCCCAAACAAAATTGTCGAACTGTTAAATGTTCTGAATTCGAATTTCGAGAAGTTATCGTCGTCTGACGTATCAATGTACACGGGCTTGTCAGGTGAGTGTTGTGTGTTTTAGTCATCCTCAGTCAGTGAATCAGTCATATGCAACGTCGAACCTGACATTTATGAATCGGTTCAAGCTGAAACATACCATCAGAACAGCGAAACGAGACTGTCAGGGCATGTCTCAGAAAGGTAGATATAGTAACAGTATTAGTGGTAATGGGAGAGATTATGTGTGGAAAGTGCAATTCGAGAAAATATGAATTTGTAGAACGAAAATATGTAAAACAGTTTAGAGATTTCATATCTAACGGAATGCACCAGTGACATTACGAACGATTTTGAGCCACGTCACCCAAAGTCTCTAACAATCGGTCAAGACAATCACGCGGACCGAACCAGACAGTCTGAACTTAGTAACATGTCCCATTGCAGTGTCTTAATGTATTTGAACTAAGCCATGGTTTCAGATTGAATTAAATGACTAACCAGAAATGTGAAGACTTTTATGTGTGTATAATGAATTCTATGTTTTCCTTTGTTTACGCATACAGGTATTGTATTTTTGTAAGACATTAGGTGTAGCCCACCATGTCACATCAGTATATACGTGCTTCCACCACATCTATTCCAACTGATTGATCATTGAAAGTCAAGTGACTGACTGGCTAATTCGATCAAGTGTTGATTCATATACCACATATCTAGTCATGTCATTTGAATAAATGTATCAGTATATGCCCTTCAATTTGAAGTAACAAGTCATAATCAGATTCTCGGAGAAATCCACCTGTTCATATTCTGTACTGCTACTGATGTAGTAAATTTGGTGTGAAAGAAATATAATGTATGAACCACTGAGTCGACCAGTGAAATCCGTCACTGATCGTTGTTAGTGTAGTTGAACTAACGATGTTCATTTGTAAAACCTTTCATTGAATGTTGTTAGTATTGTGTTCCAGATTGGTCGTATCCCATTGTTTTGATATCGTTAGCAATTTATTCGGGACCATTTAAACCCACAAACAGACGTTGTCTATACATTAAGGTGTAAGAAATGTAGTTGTGTACTTTAGAATTTGTGAATAGTATGCGAACCACTCGATCAACTTGTGTTTCTTTCTATTTGTTTGTAGGTGTTGGACTGTTCTACAATTTCCTATCACAATGCAAATGTGAATTATTAGACAGAAAGATACGTGAAAATGGTGTTGTATGTACAGAGAAGTTGTTAAATCGATGTCTACGTCACATTAACTTAAAAGAGTTGTCTAAAAATATCAGTGTTTACACTAGCCCGATCGGTCCATTGTGTTTAGGTGCTTTATCATCAATCAAGCATGGAAGTGAGAATACAGAGTCAAAGAAGTTCGTAGAAGACATTTTGTCAGCGAGTAAATATGGCTTGGATGTGGACTGTGGGATGCCTGATGAAGCGTTATATGGACGTACTGGCTATCTAAATTGTTTGATAACACTTCGAGAAAATAATTTCGACATCCCTGTTTCTGTTGTCTCTTCGGTATGTGTTTGTGTATTTGTTACTGCTTTTGAAGTGTTTATTAATGAATTGTTTGTGCTTGATTGTGCAGAGGTGAATTACTAGAGAAGTGAATGGAAAGGTTTATTGCTCCAGTGTTGTTCTAGATAATTTGTCGGTTTATGAAACTGGTTCAGTTGAATAAGCTTTACAATGATGTGTTTGTGTCCACAAGACCACAGGCGAGTTATTGCAATGCATGGTATAAATCCGATTCTCATGACCAATACTAATCGTTGAAGTACAATCATCCGTTTTACGTTCCATGAAAATATTCAAGTGACTCATACTGTAACGTTTTACTCATCTTTTCAAGTATCATCCTTTGTGATTGTGCATAAAAGTCACTGCATTTCACTGTCTGATTTATGGATTTATGTGTCTTCCGTGATATGAAAGTAGTAACATTAATGATAACAGTTTTACTTTAGATAACAGATGCTATATTGAAGTCTGGTCAGAAAACAGCTGGTGCTTACAAATCGAATGGTTTTTATAATCGATTGATGTACCAGTCATCGAAACGAGATTTGTGCATGCCACCGTTAATATTTGAATGGTATAATGAATGTTATCTTGGTGCGGCGCATGGTTTTGCTGGTATCTTGACTACTCTACTGAAGGTAAGTTATTTGAACATGATGATATTTTTTGGTTGGTTTCTAATAGAAATCATTGGATAACTCAGCTGCTTATGGGAAGACTGTTGATGAACATAAGTTAAATAAGCTTCACCAGTGAACTAGCTACCAGTAACCCATAGAATTTGATTTTGTGGAAAGTGTGACTTGTAACTAATTCATTGCTACTAAAATAAAGAAGTTTGACATTCTGCTTTGAGCTTACTAGAGCTTGGATTGTGTTTGTTGATCAACTTTGTCTTCGTTTTATTCATATTAGTTTTGATATCGAGCATTCATGTAAACTTATCAGACATAAGACAAAATAATAATGTTATATACTAGTATATTATCTATGGTGGTCATTATCTTCACTGGAGAAATTAGGACTACTAGGATTAGTAGAACAGTTTTCTAGAACTCTGTTGTCTACTTAGGCAAAGTACGAATTAATATTTATATTATTGTTGTTGAGTCTTGTATCATTTCAGTTTCGATTTTCTTTTTTTTTTGAAGGTATATCGTTTGTTTCCTGGCAGCATATCATCACATTCCTTAAATCAGTTAATTCTACCTACTGTCGATTGGATGAGTCAACTTCAGTTATCCAACGGAAATTGGTCTCCTAGTTTAGGTGATAGCGAAAGTCATGACATATTGGTTCATTGGTGTCATGGTGCAACGGGTGTTATTCCACTTATGCTCTCAGCTTACAAGGTTGGCTATAATATTTTAGTGAATGATTTAATTATCGTCAAATAGTATATCTTATTGCAATGAAAGCATCTTAGACGTTTAAATATATAACTATCATTTTCAAAAAAGTGTGAAAATCGGATTCGCAATATGTAGTGTACATGAACTCAATGATTTCAACAAGATAACTAGTATATAAACTGAATCTAATCATCATTTGCTATCGGAATGCATGTGCTGACGTTTCCTATTCGCCTCATGATTAAGTGATTATCTAAGAAGGCCATTTATCTTGAATATTTATTTATTATTACCAAATACATATGCGCCACACAAATTTCATTTGATATTTGTGAGAGCTGTGATACTGCCCGGGTGCCCAGAGTGAAACAGGTGGTTTTCTTAGGGGGCCACACCCAGAGCCTTCGATGTAAAGGTCTGATCCACAAGGCGGTGGATCAATGTCAGGAGATGCATTCCCATGGTAGCCGGTGACCAACGACTGGTTCATACGCCATTTTCCCCCTCAGGATACTGGGGCCCATGTGCACCATTGGTTTGGAATCAGCATTTCCCAACTCCCCTAAACTGACTCTCCATGTCTACCAACCCTGTTAAAGCGCCGGACATTCGCTTTTCGTCCTCTGAATTTCGTAAACAACATCCCTGGTGTGAGAATGCAATGAGTAGGACTTGTGTGGCAGAGGCTATATACGCGTGGCCATGTGAGAGCATTTCGAGAGGGTGAGCGGACTCTCCCTACTCTCGGCCGTACCAGGACATTTGGGGGCAATCTTGAACCGTATAACCGGGTAGTATTGCGTCTTACATAAAATGCTGGATTTTTCGAAAGTACTCTTAATACACGAAATAAATCATTATGCATAAAAACCTATATGTACTGTCTCGTGACAAAACGTTTTATGGAAACGTTGTTAGACGAGAGTTTTCTGAGCAAGGCTATGAGAACAAACATTTCTTGTCCAATCTGTAATAGGATTATTATTATTATTATTAAACATCAGTGAGTCTATGAAGTGGCGAAATAGGAGTTAGAAACTAATCAAACTGCACTTAAAATATTCTCCTTTTATTTAGATAGATATGTATGATTTTTAAAGTTCATCGGTAGTGTGTTTACTGCTATTTAACCGCTGTGTTGTTACATTCTATAGATTACAGGTGAAAATAAATATTTGAAGTGTGCGTTAGATGGAGGAGAAGCTGTATGGACTCGTGGTCTACTTCACAAAGGCTGTGGTCTATGTCACGGTTCAGCTGGTAGTGGTTTCGCTCTATTAGAGATTTATCAAACAACTCAAGATCCCAAATATTTGTATAGAGCTATAAAGGTTGGTGTCAGTTCAGTGACAGTGGTAGTTCAATGCATTTAAAGTATATGTATTTCGTCTTTTGTTTTCTGAATATGTGTGTATTACAAACTTTACAATGTGTCATTATATTTGTTCTGTATATTGTGTATAGTTTGAAGTACAACATTGTAGTGTTTCACTTGAAATCCTCATTTTTCTGTTCACTATTACGTGTTTTGAGTGGACGGTGTCTGAATTCACTTACCTTTACTCTGGTTTGTAATGATATTGTAAGTTGGTGAGGTACTGGTGTATTTTCACGTTACTCCATAATTATGATACTGTTATATTTTATAGTGTGAATGAGTGTATTTTGTTAGGTTATTTGTGTATAGTTGTGGGTAGATGATTTATGTTACGATCTGTTGAGTAAGGGGTTGAAAACCATTGAACTGTTCTAAGTTTATGTAGAACTGTATTACAGTCATAACAAATATGTATCCTAGATGTAGTTTGTGGCTGAACGTACGTGTGGTCACTGTGTTTTCCAATCATTAGATAGACGTAAAGCTAGCTGTATTTGCACCGAATTATATGGAAATACCGGTTCCCCAATGTGTACCGTTTAGTTTGTGTCCAAATAAAGTGAGTTCCTTGCCTGGATTTCTTATTTACCGTCTTCAAGGTTCTCGTTTCCCTGTTGAACACTACCTGTCATAGGTCTCACATCTTTTCATAAGCTCGTGTTGTATTTAAATGGTCGTAACCTATCGAGGTGTTCGACGTTGGAGCAGTTGGTCGCCAGTCAGTTATTTGTCATTAAGAACTGTTTATCGACCCATTGGTTTGAACTGACTGCTTCGATTGAACTAATGCATTATGATGTTAAATCAGTTGTTTAACTGGTTCCATAATCATAATAGCGGTTACCTTTGAGTGATTGTTTAGTCAACATCTCGATGATCAGATCGATGAACGTAATATTCATTTGACAATGTATTTTTCTGTCTTAACCATCTGCGAAGATTTATGTGGCTTTTAGAATAGTCAACCAGACAATTTAAATCCGAAGAAACTCATGATTGTTCAATGTTTTTACATTTGCTCTCCAGTTCGCTGAATGGTGTACCGACTGTTTTAAAAATGCTACTCGCGTTGCTGATCGTCCGTACTCACTTATGGAAGGTTTGTTTAGTGTGCTTTTCCATTTGTAACTAAGATTAATCCCTCTTGTTGCTAATATAGTTTGACACTAATATTACACGTTAGTCCTCATTTAAATGGTACCCACCAGGAGTTTGTGAAGTGTTGTGGAAGAAACTAACTTCGCATTGATGTGTCTACTTTTGAGTAGTGATATTGCGATAGAAAAGTCACATCTTTTCATCGGTTAATTGACAGTGATTCGTATCCAGTTGTTAGAGTGATGATAGCCTACTGATCGGAATGTGAATGGTCAATGTATTTTCGATGTGCGGATAGGTGATATATCGGAACATCTGGAGAGTGTGAACACAGAATGAATATATGGAAAGAGACCTAGAATTGTGTTGAGTTTTCCTGTTGTTAGCAATTAGTAGTGTATTGCTCAATTGAAACTACTCACTTTTCTGATCTGTTAGGATTTTCATTTGGAATGATTGAATAGGGAACTACTTCCAATTTCCATCTTCGTACGTAATGTTTTCTAGTACGTAATCAAGTATCACTGTTCCATTCATGCCGTGTGAATTTGTCATGGAAAAGGGTGTTAGTGATTTGATTGGATCGAATTTTCGACTGTTAAATCAATGAATAGAATGCTAACCGACGGATGGGCACGATGATGGCGAGTGTGACCGAGTGGTTTGCTAACGTGACTGTATTACCGACGGAAGCCGCCAAGTGATTATAAATCAAAGAGAAAACGACTAGGCGGATGAATATCTTCCATATGTGATAAAATAACATGGTTATGTAAAGACTATGAACACACAATAAGCACGACAAACTGTCACAACCAATTGGAGATAATTAACATGTAGGTCGTCGATTCCGCAATCAATTAAGGTTTGACTGTTAGTCCTAGTCTTTGTGCATTGTAAGAGAAGTGTAGATGTATGATGGATTGTAAATTGTTATGTGTTAACAATGAAGTCATGTGTGAGACAGGTGTCCACCACAGGCAATGAATAATGGGGGTTGTGCGACATTGTGAATTGGTAGAAGTAAATCATTCACACTGTTGGATGACGGCTGGTTTCGGTTTCCGTGTTTTGAGTCGTGGATGTGCATTCGTGAGGAGTAGTCTCTAAGTAGAGTGAATAATGGATGCCATCGTTACAGTGTATTCTCCTCCTTCCCTTGTCATGAATATTATTCCATCGTAAATCAACAAACTATTCGATCTTCTCATTTCCAGTTTGTTATGTGGAAAGTTGACTATTATTTATCGGTTTGACTGAATTGTATTTATTATTTTGAAGTGATCGTTAGTTCAGTGTAACAGTTTGTTTTTTGTGTTCATATTGTGTGTTTAGGTCTTGCTGGGACACTGTACTTCCTTGTTGGTATTTTGGATCCAGTTAATTCGAAGTTTCCTCTACTAAGTGGATTGTGAATAGAAAGAAACAATGATTTTATTTATATCTATTCAACTAACTTTGTCTGTCATTTTGTACTCGCATCTATTTGTTCATCATCCACTTAGTTTATGAGAAAATGTTATTTGAGTCTCGTGTCTGCCGAATAGTTCACATTTGTTTTAACGATATTATATTCAATGTATTTTGTGTTGTATACTCTGTTTAGTCTAAACCCGTGTGTGAAAATGCCAGTTTAAGGCATACTGTGTATATTTAACGGTGTTGATTGTTTGAATATTTGATGAGCATCGTACTGTGTTTGCGTTTGTTTTCTTTAAAGTTGATAGGAGAAGTGAGTAGTCTGACAAGTAATGGATATGTAGAAGAGACGTGGATGAGTGTATACATATGGTGAAAACATTGTTAACTGCAATGATGTGTCATGTTTTTGTAATTGCACTCACAGTATATTTAGAATTGCGATTTCTGTTGGACGTTGAGAGCTGGATCATAGGAGCGAATTTTTGTTAGTGTTGAAAGATAGTTGTTCGACCAATATGGTATGTGTATAGGTGTGATGATATGAGATTTGTTTTGCCTCCGGATCAACATTTCGACAAACTAAGTCAACACTTAACAACTCATGGTTTGTAGTTTAAAAGTCATTTTAGTATTTCATACATGTATTGTTTGGACGTATTTTACAATGAATCATGCCCATCGAAATGTCATTAAGAGCCGAGTAAACTCTTGGGAACATTTTGTCTAATCAGGATTGAATGAGCATTTCTCCGTAATATTTTAAGGGAAAGTCATGGTTAGCGTAATAAATATAGTGTGGTGTGTGCTACTTATACGGACAGATATAGGTAGTATGTGGTGGTTATGGGAAGTTAATTCCTTGCTGGGAGAAGAGGAGAATGATGAGGAGAAAAAGAAAAACAGCACTGGTAGTAGCAACAAGAATGGAGGCACAATTGGGTTTGTAAAGGTCAACTGAAGGAAGATGTGCAAATGGTGTGTTGGATGTATTGTCTTTATATTTTACGAATTCAGTATGTAATTAAAGACAGTGCATTTAGTTCACACCTTCCCATGTCTTCGTACTTAATAATCGGTGTCGCTTTCACTACGCAGGATGAAGATTCCGTGGCCACTGGAGTTCGAGGAACGAGATGTACGGAGTGTGTTGAGAGAGTTTGGGACTGGTGCGTAGGTGGCAGGTGTGTAGAAGCCTAGGGTGAAGGTGGTGGTGCTGAAGACAGAGCGAAATGGGTGTATGACAGCGTGGATAATGCCGGCGGGAAGACGGCATAGGAGGTAGTCACGGAGCGGTTGTTATAGACTTTGGCAGTCAAGTTTACTGGAAGAAGGCACTGAAGAAATTTACGGTGAACTTCGATCTGCTAGTGTTTCCAGCGTATCTAACCTTATTGTTACTTCGTGAGCCATCGATTTTGAATGAGTTTCCTGTGGTCTGACTTGCTGGCGTCGAAGTTTATTGAGAATAACAGCATGAGTTAGCCGCAATACGAATAAACAAGTGCAGAAATAATATATGTTAAGGTCGTGAGGGAACATGCCATTAGAAGAGAGACTGAAAGCGGATACACACTGTTTGCATATGTTCCTTGAGTTGACCATCACAAACACTACTGTTCTTTCATTCCTGTTGCTAGTACCATTGCTTTCTGTTTTGCTCCTCTCTTTGTTATCCCCTTTTTCCAGGAAGAGATTAGCTTTTTATATCTGTCCGTATAAGTAGCACGTACCACAGTGTTTATCATGATTGTATGACTCTCTACACGATCAAAGTATGATTATATTGAATACCGACCACCAAAAATTAATCATATTTAATTAGTTTAGCTATGTCATGAATGGTCATCTACTATTATGTATGCGTCGCTAATTGTTATGTTGGAATCGCTTATACTTATAAAACGAAGAACCATTGCAGTTTTCACAATGCGATGTAAGAATATCAACACTGGCACAAGTGAAGACTTATTAACGCCCAAAACACGACAACGACTCTAGTCGAAAATACACTTGTTACATATATTGACTGTACACCCATTTTGATTATTAATAAGGGTGAAATCACATATTTTTTTGAAAAAAAATACCCCGAGTTATAACGAATTACATTCTGCATGTTATGCTGAGCATAGTTCATGTGGATTCAATAAAGGGATATCGTATGCTGAACAAACATTACACTCAGATAAATCATTGTTATGCTGAATAATATATCATACTGGAAAACGAAATACTACATTGTGTAGTTATCACATTGAATTAAAAATACAGAAGTAATATTGTACAAAAAATTACAATGAATGAAAGAATACAATTTTGCTTTTTAATTCCATCATATCACTTCCCCTTCTTTCTAATGGAATGCGAAGAAGTGAGTTTTCTATGGAGAGGAGTCTATTTGAATGGTTTTTGTTCTTTTTCTTATTTCCAGTGACCTTGGCTGATCATACGGTCGTATTTCAGCTTCCAGTTGGTTTTTCGTCTTCATTTTAGAGAAAAAAATTTAATTAACGTCCTGATTTCTATGTTTTGCTCCTTCGTTCAACGCATACACGATTCTCTCTCCCCTACGAAACAACGTTGGATCTTTATGTACACACGTCACATATAATGTGACTCTATTGACCTGAACTGTATTAACACTACTCACATCTTCATTATAATAGAGTATTAAGACGTGTAGGTATACACGAAGGTTGAAGGATCCTTGTGTAAGATCTCGATCTGTATGGGTAATATTATATATGGTGATTTCTCTGCCTTTCATTACAAAAAATCAATGCAATTATTCAATCCACAATACGACTAAGTACATTTTACATTCCGACTTGTCAGTAAAAGTGCATGTGATTCATGTAGGCTCGGTTTGTCTCTAAAGCATTTGAACGGGACACTGTTTCTGCATCATACTCGTTAGGATCAGTATGTAATTGCATTCTACATACAGGTATATTGCAATCGAACTGACATTGAATTATTGAAATAGTAGATATTTTTTTCGCATGTGACATTCACTCTGTCCGAACAAACACGATAGATATCATCGGATTCGTTGGATATTTGTATATAGCTATAGCATATCGAAATTTGATGGCTGCTCAATCAATTTTCCAGTACTTTGTGTAAATTGTTCGTATTTAACGCTTTTGGCGAGATGGAATCCGCTCGCTTGTTTTCTTCATTTAGTCTCAGCATCCTGAGATAGGTATGGAGTTTTGAATCAGCGTCTAGTATGGCCGCTTTCATCTTAGACAATCCTCATTTCTAACATAGCAGGTACCGAGCCTTAACCTGTTCGTCGTGTTTTTGGCGTTAATAAATCTTCACTTGTACCAGTCTTGATGTCTTTAAATCGCGTTGTGAAAAATGCAGTTGTTCTTCGTTTTACAAGTATAAGTAATAAGCGATTCCGACCTAACAATTGGCGACACATTCATAGTATTTGTTAGTTAGCAACAATGTAGAAATTCTTACGTACTTGCATCAGTTCGAGTTGCCATACCACATTAGCACACAGATACAATTGTCGATTCAAATCCCATAGTGATAGAGGTAGTAAAAGTATAAGCAGTAATCGGAAAGATTAGGGTTTGAAGATGTTATTCAAGGAGTATAATCGAGTGAAATAAATTCGGAAAGAGAAAAAAGGAATATGAAGAATTCAAAAGATTAGAATTTGAGGGGACTCACCTGCTCCATTGCAAACGATTTTGAGCCATGTTATTCAAAGTTTCTAACCATCGGTTGCTATCGTCTCCCGGATCCCAAACAGGCGGTCTACACCTACCTACATGGCTCAGTTCACTTGTCAGTGACTTCATGGATTTGTGCCATGCTTTGGCCTAGCCGCCCCTAGCTTTCTTCTAACCTACTCGTACACCATAAAACATCACACGTCGGGGCAGTTGGTGGTTGGGTGTACGTAACACATGTCCCAGCCATCTCAACTGATGAAGTTTCACTACCTTATCAATTGACTTGCCAGCCTTACCTAGTGTAGCGGTAAATAAATCCCCAAAATAAATAACTCTGTAAGTTTTCGACATTGGATGCTGACCACATGATTTAATGGACTCACATAGCTGAAGGCGCTCGGTCACGCATCCGCACCAGACCACGTGTGGGAACGCCGTGCTCAACATCTACTGCAATCGCTGGCCAAATTAGATCAGATGATTCTAGATATATTGATATCACATCAAATATATCTTCCAATCTCCTCTATTCTGCCTTTTAATTTCTCTTGGTGGGTACGCTTCATATTAGAAGGTGTTACTGGTTAAAGCGTTGTCAAACACTGAATACCTGTGCCGTCTTCACTAGTACCCGTTTCCTAACAACTGCATTAATTAGTCGGCGGTACCAGGATATACGTGCGGTGCTTCGAAGGTATCTGTGATCTAATAATGGTAACCTACGAATATTCTCTTCTCTTGCCGGCCATGCCATTAAAGTAGGACGGAACGAACTGTTGCGCAGTAAACCCATCCTCTGACTGGTAGACGGATATCTCGCCTACGCCATAAATGACGCAAGTTGGCAAAAGTTAGTCGAGCCTTCTGCATCCGTGCTGAGATTTCGTCACACACCAGACCACAAGAGCTGATGAGACTTCCAAGATAAGTGAAGCGGTCGACAGGCTCAACTACTTCACTCCCTATCATTAGTTCAGGTGTCGATGCAACCCAATCCTGAAGCAACATTTTACATTTCAAGGGGGAGAATCGCATCCCGAACAAGCCTGCATTGTTGCTTACTGTGGTCAGAAAACTCTGCATTATGTCAGCGTCTTCACCAGATAAAACTATGTCACCAGCATATTCTAAGTCAACAAGTGAACCTCCCGGTAGAAGGTCAACCCCTGGAAATCTAGACGAGGAAAGTGTTATCTCTAAAAGTATGTCAATGACAAAGTTAAAAAAGAATGGGGAGAATGGACAGCTCTGACGAACACCACTTGAGGTAATCAATTCTGTTGACAGTTCGCCATAAGCTCTCACTCTACCAGTTGTGTTCGAGTAGAGAGCCTTTATAGGGTTAATGTACTTCTTTGGTACTCCTTTCAGTGACAAACACTGCCATAGAACCTTACGATCAACAGAGTCGAATGCCGCCTTAGTGTCGAAAAATACTACCATTGTGGGGCGTCTGAATGGGTGTCTATGTTTTTGAACCTGACGTAGTGTGAATATCTGATCTATACAACCACGCCCAGGTCGGAAACCAGCCTGATTTTCTCTAGTCTGTTCTTCACGAGCTTTAGTTAGGCGTCGAAG